TATATGAGACAGCTAGTCATTTGTTAACTATCAGCATGTGGGTTTGTAGTTTATATCCTTGGCATTTATATACTTGTAATTTATATCACCTTATTTCTCTTTATAAGAAACATGAATCACATAAGTAAATGTAAATCATACGATGAATAACATAAGTAAATGTTCATGGAATGATGATTAATATGAAACAAACTACCATATGTCATAAAACATCTAGTAAAGGTACACAAAATATGTATAATTAGTTTATACAAAAACTTAAACTCTATCATCGTGCGGCTGGTCGGGCTGATGTGGGGTCAATATGCACTCCCTAGGCCCATCTCTGGCCCACGATGTGGGTTACGACGAACCTCTACATGTGGAACATCTACGGTTGCTTCAAAGTCAGCATTCAAATCTATTCCATGACTATATGAGGTATCATATGATGTCCCAATAACTGCATCTGGTGCTGGTGCTGGTGGTGTTAGAATAGGTACATCATATGGAGGCGGCGTCAAGAATGGTGATGGACATGGGATATAACACTATGTGGTCAGGAATGGTGATTGAGGAGTCTGTGGCGGATGCTGGGTGGCCTGAGATGAGTGAAAATATGTAGGTGCACTAACAGGCTGTGTGTAGAAAGGAAACTGTGAGGGAACACAGAATACTTCATCAGGACGCTCAGGTATAGGTGGAAGAGACCAGTCTGTCGCATGTACCTCTGTGCGTCTACGCTGTAATCCCCTGCCTTCCTTACGGTCCCTCGGTTGACGGACATCTACAACTGGATCCTCAGTATTGCCACTCTGTATTGGAGGCTCAGATGAAGAAATAGGTTCCATAATACGGTTCAAATCATTCTTCAAAACTAGCATAGATTGACACAGGTCTCGCATCTCATCAAAGCTAAAAGAATCATGGCCATCAGTCATCAAGTAGTGGGCTCTCTCAAGTCCATCGCCCTATAAAACAAAAGAAATTGTATGTTAACAATGTCATTACAAATACACATAAGTAAATGTATTAAATAGTTTACACTTACAAGTAATGATGAGACAGGTGCGTCTCTTGTCATCCAACGTCTAGTGTGAGCTCTATACCACCGCATATACTCTGAGTTGAAACTTAGCTGACCAATCTGGGGGTCATTGGTCATGACCCAATCTCTCCTTCTCTCCCAAATGTCTAATACATCCCTCAGCTTCTCTTGCCAATTCTCTGTTGCCTTCCCACGCAGAGTCAAGTCATGTAGTGCATCTTGCTGATATGGGACACGAGGTATATGTTGAACCATACCAAATTGCCGCATTACTCGATCTAGTTGGTGCCACTCACACACCTGAAAACATATCAGAGGCACAACAGCCCTCCATAACTCCATCCCTTCACGACATATAGCTGGTAACGAATTAATCAAATCAATAGAATATGGTTGCCAAATTATCTGCACACATTTTACATCATATTTACATTAGTTTTCATAATGATAACTAAATTAAAATATGACTATAATATATGGCGTGGGTGTTAATCCAGGTTTACCTCTTCACCACTAAGCATGTCAAATTTATATCTATAATAAGATATGTCTTTCCTCCCTTTCCTATTCCTTTGATTGGCCAACCACCTACAAAAAGATACATATATTGTTAATACAGAAGGTATGTTAAACATATTAAGGACATCAATATTTAATATTACCTGGTAGCATATGGAAGATGGAGTCGTGTGTGAAGCAGGTTTCCAGGAGCTACAAATGGAAATCTATCCTATGCCCACATCACAAGTAATGCAGCTAATCCACCTAAATCATGCCGATCAATATTGGTGGCCATACACAGCTCTCTATACAAAAATCCCAATACTGCAGACCCCCAACTATATTCACGAATGACAGCAAAAATCCTGAAGTAAAGGTAAGTACCTCACTGAGACTCTACTGCTGGAGTGATCACTCAACATAAAACCCCCAATCAACCGCAACATATAAGCCTTAGCAAATCGGGTGATCTGTAAAGGATTTTATGCATGCATCGCCACATGGGTAAAATGTTGGTCTAGCCAACTCGTCTTCAAGAAGCTACCAACAAAATCTGCACGTGATGGTCTAATCTCTAGGCTCTCATCAACAATATCAGCATAATTACCTCCAATAGGTGCTATCACAGGTCTTCTATCAATTCGTAAACCTAACAACACAGATATATCCTGCAAAGTGATCGTACACTCGCCTGGAGGCAAGTGAAAAGTGTGTGTCTCTGGTCTCCATCTCTCTACTAATGCAGTTATCAACGGGAGGTCTAATGGGAACTGACATACGTGAGCAATCCCAGTAAATCCCGCAAGCTCTAAATGTGGAAGGATCTCCTCTGGAACACTATCCAAACCAGCTGGAATAAATTGACTCTTCCTAACCTTCAAAATAGGATGATCCCAACCATCCCAAATATGTTCAGACACATGAATATTCTGTAAACGCAACAATAAAGGATCATCTAGTCCAGGATGAATAACCCTATTCTGTCCTAAAGATGAAGCCATCTTCACAAAATATAAAATATAACATCGTCAAAATTTTAAACTTTAATATAAATTATACAAAATATTTTCATATCATGCATCAAGTATAATATCTCAAGCTGTTCTTATTTCATCACATAATTAAAATAATATGTATAATCATTGTAATACAAATGAAATCAAATACAATTATTCATAAGCAATTGTAAAAAATTTTACTAAATAAATTAGTTATTTGTTCATTAAATTTAACATGTCTTTTTAAAAAATTTACTAAATACAAATTTTGTTTATTTTTTAGTCATGATAAATTATAAATTATATGATTAATAATTGATTTCGGCTAATTTGTATCACTCCAAAAATTTATATTCCATAACTAATCTTCTTATTAAATTAAAAATTATTTAATTAAAATAACTTAATATTCAAGAAAATATAATAACACTCTAAAATAAGATTTTAATAAATAAATTTATAATTTCATCATAGATAATATTACATAATTATAATTCTTTTTTCTCATCAAACAAATATGACCCCATAACTTAAATTACCTAACCAAAGTTCTTATTTCATTAAAGATTAAATAATTTAATTAAAATTACTTAATCTCATCTTATTAATATCAATCTAAATTAAAAATTTAATAAATAAATTTAATCATAAATAATATTACATAATTATTATTATAATTATTTATTCTATATTATTTAATATCACTCTAATAACTTAAATTACATTACTAAATTTCTTTTTTCTACCAAGATTATAATTTTTTATGATTAATAACTTAATCTCATCTTATTAGTATCACTCTAAAATTTAAATTCAATATATACACTTATTATTTTATCATAAATAAATTTTTATAATTCTAATTATTTATTTTAAATTATTTAATATCACTCCAATAATTTAAACCATAAACCATAATTAACCATAAATAAATATATTTTCTTTTTTTAATTATTTATTTAACTCAAATTTTTGCTACTATAATCTTTTTATATAAATGTATATGCTTAATTTTAATGCTCTCAATTTTTACCTTCTTAACATTTTTGTTATTATCTATTCATTAATCATAAATCAATCTTTTAATTTATATTCTTAAATGTTATTTAATCTAAAAAACATAATTTATGTTATAATTTTCTTACACTTTTTTCTATTTATTATTTCTTATATAATTAATCAACCATAGAACTATTTTATATTTTTCTATTTTCAATTTTATTTAACTATTTAAATTTATGATTTTTAATTATTTTTTACAATTTTTTAAATTTTTACTTCAAATTCTATTTATTTTAAATGTAAACTCTAATTTTTTTTCTTAATATTACTATCAAAATTTAATTATGCAAATTCTAATTATGTTGATATATCTACAAATTTTTAATCTAATATGACTCTAATTTTTAATCTAATATTACTGTAAAAAAAATTTATTCAACCTTTTAACATTATTAATAAATATAAAATTTAAAATTTTTTAAGAAATTGAAAAACTTGGATGGATGGGGAGGGGGTGGGGGACGGCGGCAAGGGCGGACAGCACCTTCTCTAGCGACGGTGGCCTCTCAACGACGGCAACAACTCCGCTGGACTGTAACCTCTCTCCGGCAATGACCTCCTATTCTCCATTCTCCCAACTTTCTCTAAGTTTCAGAACAACAACACCACAAATCACTCCAAACCCAATCGATCTGGTCAGTTTTGTGCAATGTATCACGAATCGCACTCAAAACTCACTCTAAAATGATCAAAAATAACCTCACCGAAGCTTTAGATCGTTGTTAATGGCAGTTTGCAGACGTTCGAAATGGAAGAGGAGAAATGAAGGAGGAGCGTCGGTGACCTCCTGCCATAGGACACGTGGCCCAATCAACGTGTTTCGTCTCTGCGTCAGACGAAAGCCACTTTTCATCTGACGCATAGACGAAACACTTTGATTGGACCACGTGTCCTTTGGCGGGAAACTTTATTTCAAAAAATTTAACCCTTTTCGTCTCATACTTATACGAAACTGCTGCCACGTGTTCTGCTCTCCGTATTTCGTCTATCTTTAATACGAAATGATTAAATAAAAATTAATCAAAAATCAATTCGTCTGACTTTTATACGAAACTGTAGCTGACGTGGCCTAAAAATGCCCCAGACAAGGAATTATTTTATTTTTTTTACATTATTTTGATAATTATTTTTTAAAATTGTATTATTTTAATCTTTAAGCCACCAAACCTCTAACTTGAAGATTCCTTGTTAAATGGCAAGGGTTAAAAAGCTATAACTAAGAAAAAACCCAATTACTTGTTCAACCGGATTGTTCAGAAAAACATGATCATCCAATCCGACTAAAGGGATTTTAATTTAATAATTTCCTATATAGGTTTTAAGATTTCAACAAGAAAACATAGAAGGAAAAAAAATAAAAGGAAAAGCTAACTAAAGGTTAAAATAAAAAGAATTCAGACACCTCCGTTTCAAATCAAAACACAAACATGTCGATTAATCAATGATTGTCGCTTTACAAGAAACTGTTTTCTTTTTCTAAAAAAGGGAGAATAATAGAAGAAAAGAATATGATGATTGGCCCAAAATAAGGCCAGAAACCAATTAAGGAGGAGAAAAGATGGGTACAAAGAATGAGAAAATAACAATGGGTCGAGGAACCAAAAATAAAAAACTAATTCCCAGACGCATGTACAAAAATTTCAAACCGATATTGAACAGAGATCGTCAAAAACTTGTCTGATGTTAGGCCTCTCATTTACAGGAAGAATACACCTGAGAGATATTGCAAGCAGTTCATCCATCTCTTTGGACGACTCCTCTCCACCTGTAATGTCTCTGTCAATACAGTCCATTACCCTTCCTTCTCGCTCACACAGCCTAACCCAATCTGTAAGATCAACAGCACCTGATTGCCCTGATATTATGTCGCCTGCACTTTTTCTTGTTAATAATTCCATTAAGATCACACCAAGTGCATACACGTCGGCCTTAAAGGATGGAACTGGTTTGGATGCAGTAGCAAGTTCTGGAGCACGGTATCCAAGTGCTCCTAGATTTAGTATCTGCTCAGCAATTCCAGCTGGTGTCATCAGCCGGTGCAGACCGTAGTCAGTAAGGCGAGCATTGTATTCAGGGCCGGCTAACAAAATATTCGTTGGCTTTAGATTTCCATGGGGAAGCCCTCGATCGTGAAGGTATAGAAGACATCGAGCAACATCAACAGCAACTCTTAATCTCTGGCTGAATGATAATGGAGAGTGCCTCCGGGGTGTGCTCTCTGTGCAAACAGATACATTGATATTACACTCACTAATAAATAGCTCATATCATGTCAAAACACCCCTGCGTGAACAAGCAGTGGTAAATAGAGAATTCAAGAGCTCTAAACATGTTAATGGAGAGTGCCTCCGGGGTGTGCTTACACACTAATAAATAGCTCATATCATGTCAAAACACCCCTGCGTGAACAAGCAGTGGTAAATAGAGAATTCAAGAGCTCTAAACATGTTTTAAGTGAACTGTTTCACTGTACATAGGAATACTATGACATAAAAAAAAGCCCCTAACATTTGGACAGATACAGCCCCTGTAACTCTACAGTCTACATTAACTACAGCTAGAACTAGAAACAGCCATGCAGCTTGTACAACAGCAAGAGTTTCAAGTTCAAACAAGAGAATATTGATAGTAGCAGGCAGGATAGATGACAGCATCCAACCATTTAATCATCCACACACCCCCCCCCCCCCCCTCTTCTCAAAAAAAGGAAACAAGATTTAAGAGTCAATTTGAACAGGCTATAATCTATTCACACTTAGCTGCCCCAAAAGGCAATGACAATGAAGGCCCCAAAATCCATGCTGTTCATATACACAATTCTAGTACAATCTTGTCAGATTACTCTGAAACAGTGGCAGGCAAGTTACAGGGACTAATAATGCAGTTTATCTTTGGCATCAAGGGTTGAAGAGACTTTCCAAGTTATACAACCACTCTGAAAGCCTTCTCTCTCTCTCTCTCTCTCTCTCCCCCCCCCCCCAAAAAAAAAAAATATTTCCTCTAAAAACAGAGACATGAAGGAACAATAAACAAATTCTTTTTTAAGAAAATTAAAGCAGGCTACAATGGGAAACATACCCCCCTCCCCACAATAGTTACATAGCTAATATTTTAGCAAAAAGTTGCCCAGCAGTTACAATTTCTCTTTTAGATGCTTAGGAATAAGGAAAAAACAAAACTAAAGTGCAGATATTAAGTTTATTTGATATTGTTCTAAATTAAAATTAGAGTTTCACCAAAATAACCAACGCTGGCCTTAATGCCAACCTTTATTTGGGGGGTTACCTACCACTGTGAAACTCCAATTTTGATAAGAAAACAATACCAAAACCACCTAAAGTCAAATTTTGTCCAAAAGGAAATTTAAATTTCTAAAAGGAAAACCCATGGTCATTATGAGAAATATGGCAAGATGTGTAGGAACAGTATAGGATGTAATAAATGTTAGCAATAAAAAAATATTTAAAAAGAAAAAATGAAAACCCCACAGGATTGGAGATGTAGGGGATGAAGGTGAGATATGCTGATAGAAAAGTCAATTATTACCATAGAGATGAAGAGCCAAGCTGTCCCCATGTATATAGTCAGCTAAAAGAAGCCTCTCTTGTTCTCTAGGCCCCCAATAGTATGCTAGCAATGGGACAATGTTTGGATGCCTCATAGAACCAATCCTTTTAACTTCTCTAGCAAATTCTTTTTTATGTTTGACCAGCCCTACCCGTAACCATTTTACAGTCAACATATGACCAGTGTCCAGAGTTGCTTTATATAAAGTGCCATGGCTACTTCTGCCAAGAACTTCAGCTGGAGCTCGAGATAATTCCTCTGCAGTAAATGCTAATGAAGAATAGAGGAAGAACAGTTCCCCAGCCAGCCGATCTGGTGAGTAAACATCCAACATCACTGGCTTTTCACAAGCCTCTATAAAACGGGGTGAGGATGACAATGGAGAACCAGGAGAAGACTTCCTTCCAGATGAGGTGGGCGGGTTATCCATCAAATTAGGATTTACAGATGCTGAACTAGTTGCTACCATTCCCTGAGGTACGCCATGCTCAGAAATTTCAGTTATAAACTCTGACTGTCCAGAGAGTGACCTTGAATTGGAAGTCAACAAGTGATCATTTGAAAAGCTCAACGAAGTTGTTGGGGGTTGAACATTTGTATGGAACTTGAAGAGAGAGGGCCTCGTAAGTCCTCCTAACTTGACATCTCTTCTAGCATTTTGACCAGTGAAATCACTTCTTCCATGAAATTCTTTTAATTGGGTTCGATGATAAGCCAATAAAACAAAAGCAATCATCACAGCAGCACCCACTGAAGCAAGAATAATTGCTATCCTGATATTACCCTTTGAACTATGATGTCTACCCTTATCTGGAATATTATCTGGCACTGAAGAAGTTTCAGGAGAATTAGTAGGTAATATTAGCTCTTCATTTCCAGGTTGAAAGGATGAAGGAGGGAACTGCCTCAAATTTTCAGGAACACGGCCAGAGAGATCATTATTGGACACATTAAATACAGTTAAGCTGGATGAAAGCTTATCAGGAATATTTCCAGTAAATTTGTTGTTCGACAAATCAAGGTACTCCAAATAAATGAGTTTGCTCAATTCATTTGGCAGCTGTCCAGAAAAGCCATTCCTTGCCAGATTCAGTAGCTTGAGCCCACCCATCCTACTTATATCAGAAGGCAAGACACCTTCCAAGGAGTTATTAGACACATCAAGATATTCCATTGGCTGATAAGGAGGCATAAGTAGTAATTCACTTGCCCCTGAACCTTGAAGCAGAAGTGGCCCGGTAAACTGATTTCCAGAAAGATTTAGCCTTGTCACTGATGACGAAGTAATTAAACTACGTGGAATGGATCCATTAAGTTCATTTAAACTCAAGTCAACAGTATACAATTTTGAATAGGAGCCTAAAATTGAAGGCAAGGATCCGGACAGCTTGTTTGAACTCAGATCAATAACTTCCAATGTGGCTTCCCAGTTCTGTATAACAGAAATGTCACCAGAAAACATGTTCCTGCTCAAGTCAATGACTGTACATCTTTTCAAAGAAGCTGGCAAGGAGCCTGATAAACTATTTGACGAGAGATTCAAAATATTTAAAGTTGTAGAGTTGATTATGGCAATTGATCCTGTACATAAACAAAGTAATGTAAATTAATTAACAGAGTATTGAGTTTACTATCTTCTTTCTCTAAATAATCTACAACACCCAAAATCTGAAATTCTTCACAAACCATGATGTTAATATTGTTTATCTACTCAATTAAAAGAGCCTCATGAAAATTTGCTTGACAACTGTAAAACCAAATTTATTTATTCACATTGAAACAAGTAAATTCAATTGCAAGACAGAAGCTCCAAATGATATACTGAGTAGAATAAAGCCACAAGCAAAACAAAAGAAATACATAATAGAGAAAAAATATAACACACCAAATCTACAATTTGAAGGAAAGATCTCATAGGTCATCACTGCACTAGAAATAAGATAAACAAATGAGCCAAATACCAAGCCTCATAAGATACAGAGACACCAAACCAACAATGCCTGACTGCAGGTAAGGAAGACCTTTATAAAGAAAGTTCCATTGGAAGAAATGTATAACAGAGGTTAAACACCATTCCCTCTCCCACTATTCACAGACACGTGTTGATTTTAGTTGCGTTGCTCATAGTTTCCTTTCAAGCACATGCAAGACGGAATTTAAAAGCTCTTATTAAAACAATTTACCCCCTCCACTCACAGCCAGTGACCATTTTGGTGGAACAAAATTTTATGACCAAAAAGCTTCCCGGTTTTCAGATATGCACCTTTTCTACATCCAATATCACAACACTGCATGTGCATGCACACAAATATTCAATCAACTGACATACACTCGACTTTTAGCTTCCCTGCTTTTCATTTAAATTCACATCGTGAGAACGCAGAATGAAACAAACTTTTTCACCCAATTTCAACAAGCGCATTCCCAAAAATAAGCTACCCGCATAATCACAGCTTTAAATAGTGTAAATTCAACCTTGACAATTGACACTAAAAAAAAAAGAAAAGAAAAATATGCAAATAAAGATCAATGCTCCAATAATCAGTAATCCTCAAAAACACTCACCAGTAAACCCATTGTAGCTAAGATCCAATTCCTCCAAAGAGACAGAATTCTGCAAAAGCTCATCGGGTACGGAGCCAAAGAAGAAATTACGGCGAAGGCGCAGAACCCGAAGGCTGGGCAAGGAGCCAAAAGAAGGAAGCTCACCCCTGAAAGAGTTGTTAGTCAAGTCCAAAACTTGCAAGTTCCGAAACAACCCGATGGTGTCACTTTCAAAGAAATGACCGTTCAAGTTGTTGTGACTCAAGTTCAAAAAATGAACGGTGTTAGCCAAACCCGAAACGTTTTCCACGGTGAGCGAAAGGCCACCGTAGAACTGGTTGAGACTCAAATCAACATACTCCACATTCCGTAACGTGGAGAGAAGGTCCCCAATTTGGGCCCAGAGTTGATTTGAGTGCAAATCAAGAACCCTAAGTTGCTGAAGGTTGTTGAGGCCACTGGGGAACCCACCTTTGAATTGGTTATTTGACAAATTGAGGTAATTGAGACCCCAAAGGTCGTTGATCCGAGCAGGGATGGGTCCGTAGAAGTTGTTGTGAGAAAGATCCAAATGCTGGAGCGAGCTGAGTGAGCCGAGAGAAGGGGGTAACCGGCCGGTGAAGTCGTTGCCGGAGAGGCTTAGGTTTTTGAGCATCTTGAGGTCGAGGAGAGTGTGGAACTTGAGTTCACCGCCGAGGCGGAGGCGGTCGAGGACGATGCCGGTGACGTTTCCGGTGACGTCGTCGCAGAGAACGCCCCTCCAGGAGCGTGGACAGGCGACGGTGGAGCCTGGAAGTGAAGAAGGGTTCCATGATTCTAGAAGCTTGAGAGGATCTAGGGTTATCCCCTTCTTGAATTCGAGTAGAGATCGGAGCTCCGGTGAGGAGGGTTCAGAAGGAGAACTTAAGAGAAGAAGCGAGACAGAGAGGAAGAAGAAGAAGCAGTTGGGTTTGGAATTCATCGGAGTCAATGTGGATGGAAACAGAAACAGAAACAGAAACAGAGACAGAGACACCTTAATTATTATTCATCTACACTCTACAGAGAGAGAGAGAGAGAAAGGGGAAGAAGGAACCCTAGGAAGAAGAGTAAGAGGTTAAGATTGACGTTAACATTGGATTTGGATGGAGAGAGAGAGAGAGAGAGAGAGAGTAGGGTTTGGGTGTTAAAGTGTTGCGATATTATAAGTATTTTTATATAAAAGAGAATGGAAATGGAAGGGTGTGAGGTGGAGAGTGTTGGTTGGTGGGGGCGAGTAACTACAGTCTGTAAAGGACAACCTCTTCGTCCTCTCCCTTCATTCATTCACTCTGTTTCTTTCTCATTCTGTTTTCTTCTGCTTCTGTGTGCTCTCTCTCTCTCTCCCTGTGAATCCCTCACTTCTGAGAGACACCAGCGGCAAACTTTAGGCCCCTGTTTCTACACGCACATGCATCTATCTGTCTATGTAACGCCGTCAATGCAATCACTCTTCAAAAGATCATTAACTAAATTAAATCAATTAAACGCAAATTAAATGGTCCCCTTCCATACAGCTGTCAAAATAACTTCATTCCCCCTTCATCTACCACATATTACATTCTTAAATCACTTAAATCAACCTCATTCATTAATGTTTAAACTTCTATTCACACTTCATTCATATCATTTTCATTAATGAATACAGAAAAGGCCAAACGGGAAAAGAGACGGCGTTACGGAGCAGATGAGGGGATAGTGAAGAAAATAAGGGGATGTTTGGCTATTCCCATTTTCATTACCACATGCCCTTTCTTACTTTCACTATTAATTATTATTTTCTTTTGATATGACCAAATATTTATTTGAATGATCAATCATCCCATTATCCTTCAATCATCTCCAAGGTCATTACTAATATACTACTCTTTAGTCTTTCCCATTCATTGCTGGCCCTTTCCAATTAAAGTAACGATACTATTATATATTTTTAACATAATTCAATTATTAAATTCTTAGTTTCATTTTAATATATTGTTAGTATAAAAGTTTTATTCAATATCCAATTAAAATTACTTTAAATAAAACTCATATGATAATTAAATGATAAGAATATATATTAAGAGTATGGTAGACTTTTATGTTAATGAAAAATGATACATGTACGATAATTTCTTATACAATAGATAAAGTTACCATGTAGAAATATATTGTAAAACAATATACATATATTTTAATATACAGGAAGAAGGATAGCCATGTGTTGTTTTAAACACATCTTCTGTGATTAGTTGACTTTTTTTTAAAAATATTAATTTATGAGTCATTTATTGTAATATTTTACAAAATATATTAGATTACGTGTTACGTGGGTAAAAAAATGTATAATTAGTATTTTTTTTAATTAAGAAAATTTTATCTTAATTCTTGTATGTTTGATTATGTGTGATTTAGATTTTAATTTTGAAATATATATATATATATATATATAACTTTTATATTATTCAATTGTTAAATTTTTTTTATCTAAAAAAAATAGCCAAAATGTTAGTTAAAAAAAAACTCATCTTCTAATGAATACCTTGAGAACTTAGTTAACAAACATTAAATGTATTATATTAATTTTAAATTATTTAAAAATATAAAATTGTTTATAATAAAATGTATGTAATATAATTTTTCCAATTTTTGTTGATTTCATTAAAATATTTTGATTTATCTTATTGGAAAGGAAAATTTTATTAATTATAAATGAAAAGATAAATTTTTATTAAAAATATTTGAATCATTTAATGCTTAATTTCTTATTTCTAACCATCTAGTAGGATTTATTATTGTTCTTTAACAAATGCCCTTAAATTATGTATTATTTTAGTTAGCAGTTTCCTATTGCACAGGTGTTTCATTTTAAAAAATTTTATTTTAAGATGAATATTATATAATACTTTTTATATGAAAAATTATATATCAATAATTAATGTGAATTTATTTTTATTATAATTTTTAATAATTTATAATTTATACATTTAAAATTTTATATTAGTGAAATTCTTTTTGCAGTATGCGAATATTTAAAACTAAAAAATGTTTTTAAAATTAAATTAATATATTAATGTTAAGTATGTTGTATGATTTTTTTAATTTAATAAATGTAAAAAGTATTAAATATGTTTATTATAATAATTAACATCTTATTATATTAAATACAAATAATTTTTTTTATGTTAAACTTAATAAAATGACATATTCAACAAGTTTTCATCAAAGTTTAATTACATCGATCAAACTAGTAAACTTAAAATTCTTATAAATATAATTAAAAGTAATTAAAATTGTCATCTTATTGAGTTAGAAACTCGATATCATTTAATTCATACACATATATTTATATGTGTTAGCATTATTGTAGATTTTGATACTCTTAAAATATTTTTAACTTACAAATAAGTATACATGTTAATTGTAATCAAAAAATATTTTATAAATTTTCAATATTATTCACATAAATATTGAAAATTTAACCAGTTCCTACTAATATTCTTTAAATGTTAAATGAAATTAACAATAAAGAATTTTGAAATTGTTAATAAAAATTGAAACAATTTAAAAAATTAAAGAAAATAAAATACAAAGAAGTTACAAAATTAATTTAATATAGATGAAAGTTTAGGATTTGACTATATATATATATATATATATATATATATATATATATATATATATCAATTGAGTTATGTTACAACAATTACAAATTATTTAATTGATTATTACTACATTTAATGATTATAGAATAATAATATTAATTTTATTTATATATTATCCTAATTATGATTAACAATAACAAATATATAAAAGCATTAAAATTGAGTAGTTAATTTAAAAGTAATAATAATAATAAATAGACAATTTTAATCGACAAATAACACTAATATTATAAATTCAAATTGGGGCTCAAAATGAGTTATGTCACAATAATTCACCTCAATTTTATAATAAATAATGTTTAGTTACACATGTTCATAATAATCAAACTATAAAAATTAAATATAAAATATTCATCATCCTAAATAATAAGAAAAGAAAAAAAAATCGTGGTTGATTAGTTTTGAAATAAACACCAACTATGTAATCAAGAACATGACCTCTTAAAAATTCAAGGAAGGTAACCATATGATATATAAAAATAAGAATACATAGATGTGAACGGTGAAAGAATTATTAAATGGAAGCTTTAAGATTTGAGAGTGAAAAAAATAAGAAGAGAGCTATCATTGTCAATTTATAAATGATCAATTCAAGGAGATGAAAAATAAATTCAAAATTTTTATTTAAAATTCAAAATATACAAATTTTTACTTTTTTCAATATTTTTTTTTATAATTTAACTCTTTTTAATTGAGTTACATTATTACTATTTTTTTTTTACAATAAAACTAAGAAAAAACTAGTCATTTAAGGAATAAAAAATAATATTAATAAAAATATACTAAAATCTTATAAATAAAATAATAAAATAACATTTCATCACACATATGTCAACTTGGTAATATACAATGCTTATTATTTTTAAAATTAGCTAATTATAACTATAATTTAGTGAGTATATATCGGTAGATATAATTGTTAATATGCATCTATTTATTTTTAAATGTTTTAATAAGTTATGATTAATTTTTTAAAAAATACATTAAAAAATATTAATGTGTATATATATATATATATATATATATATATATATATATATTAAAAAATACAATACACTGATATATATATATATAGTAAGTACTGAGCTTAGAAGTTTATAAATTAATTATAAGTTTGAGAAGTTAGCTTTGAATTTATTTAAATTATTTTATTTGTTTACGAATTTTATAATCAATTTATACGGTTGATTTAAATTTAGTTAAATATTGCATTTGTTATGTTTTATAATATAAAATAATATTTTTTATTTAATCATGAGTCTAATCAATTATATTTTTGATAAAAAAATTGATTAAAAAATCAACAAATAGAAATTTTTTATTAAAAATTACATCAAGATGCATTGAAAGTAACCAGAATGAGAGTATTTTTATATATTTTAAATTTCTAAATTAGCATTTAAAAAATATAAATATATATTTTTTATTAAAATGTAGTAATTTTGAATGAGTATTAAGTATCTTAAAGTAAAACAACAAATACTAAAATTATTAAGCATGAGAACCGTACTAATGATTATCGTTATTTAAAGACAATTGTATAGTTCCAATCCATAATATTGCAAGTTAAACTACAATCATATTTTACTTTCACAGTAAAAAGACAAAAATAAATGAATAAGATTTTTTCTATAATTATAACATTTTTAAATATAATTGGATATAAAACATACAAAATAAACAATTAATAAAAGATAGATTTGACTGGCAGATTTTTATTTTGTTAAAAACAAAAAGTTAAAGTGTTCAAATTTTTTGGTTTAAAAAATGTTAAAATAAATTTTAATTAACAAAATAATATTTTACCATGATTTATAAATATTTTATCGTCGAATGTTAGTGGAATAAATTTGAGCATCGATTAAAAGATTAATAAAAATAACTTTTCGTTATAAACAAATTAAAATATAACATTGCTTTGATATTGATGTTTAAAAGATAATATAAATGATTTTGTGAAAGGAAAATATATAAAAAAATTATAGTATTCTGAAATATTAGGACCAAATTATTTATATAAAAATAATCTATCTCGTTATTTAATCTTTGCAATTAATTTTGACTATAGTCGATAATTTACATAAAACTTACAGAAACATGAACATGCATCATTCACAACGTTGTTATTATATTTGATCTTTCATAATTATAATTACATAATGAAATTATATTAAAAGTCATAAATAATTTTGACAAGCACAAATGAATGAGATAAATCTTTAGTACTTAAAAACTTTTCGTTATTAAATTACAGAAGACAACAGCGTAGATAACAAATTCTGACCGTAACATTTTTATAAAAATATATATTTTTAAACAAATATCTATATTTTAAATAGAGTGCATAGCAATATCCTTTGAGATTTATTTTTACACCATCAAATTTTTTTTCTTCTAAAATGTTCTTAACCAAAAATATAATTATTAAATAGAAAAATGAAAACATATTTACTGAAAATAAAACAATTTATAAATTTATCTAATTTTTTCAAAATTTTAAAATATTTTTTTTTCACTTTTCATTTATGTTAAATTACATTTTTTTATTATTTTAGGATTTTTTATCTCCATTTTTAATTATATTTTACCATCTTTACTTCTCAGATATTTCAATTGTATTAAATGTATCATAAAAATTTTAATTTACTATTAAAATAACGTATTTGTTGACTTTTGTTAGACTTTTTTTAGAATAAACTTTTGAAATTAGGATTTTATTATTTAAAAATTATTTTTTAAAATTAAACTTTCACACTTTTGGAAAATAATTTTTGAAATTATTAATCTTTTTCAGAAATAACTTTCTAAAATTAGAATTTTATGCTTTTGAAAATAAATTTTTAAAATTAAATTGATTTTCATATTTATATTTGTACACTTCCAAAAATTAATTTTTGGAATTATTAGCTATTTCCATAAATAAGTTTTTGAAATTAAGATTTTATGTTTTTGAAAATAAATTTTTGAAATAAAGATTTTATATTTCCAAAAATAAATTGTTAGAATTAAGATTTTACACTTTGGGAAATTATTTTTCAAAATTAGTGTTTCATTCTTCCAAAAATTAATTTATGAAATTATTAACAATTTTTATAAATAAATTTTTAGAATTAAGATTTTACATTTTAAAAAACCAGTTTTCAAGATTAGTTTTTTGTACTTCCATAAATTAATTTTTGAAATTATAAATTATTTTAAACAAAAATTTCCACACTAAAATGAAAAATAGAGGAACTTGTCTTTATCACTCATTATGAAGGATATTTAAAAAAAAATTATAATTTTTTTAATGAGGTGCGAAAGAAAATTTATAATTTATAGATTGACCCCAAATTGCTCTCATCAAAATTGCAGTTCCACCACTCTACCCGCCGGCAACTGGGCCTCAAGACGTCCAAAAATGAATGGAGGCCCACTTCACATTTAAAACTTAACAAATTAACATTTAGTCGCTGACACCCATTCGGATTAATTTTTTAAATATAGTATTTAAAAATTATATATACAAAAATATAATATTTTTTCAAAAATTATAAAAAGATGGTGTTTAAAAATCGGCCATAGACAATTTTTTATGTAAATACAAAAGTTTAAATATGAAAAATCGGAAAAGTGATGAAAGCTTGATGATTTAAAAAGAAATAAAAAAATAATAAAATATTAAAAGTTCCCATTGACGATTTTTTTTATAAAAAAAAGTGGTTAAAAGTGGTCAAAAATTGTTAATGATGATTTTTGAAAAAAAAATCATATTTTGATAATTTTACCAAAAATCCCATATTTTGGTATTTTTTTTTATAAAAAAGATCATAATAAAAAAAACCCCACCCATTCTCATCACTTTTTTTTGAGCTCTTAGATTTTTTTAATTAATAGATAAAATACCCATTGTTATATCTCCAAAGTTTGGTTCAGTTTTATGGGTAGTGTATAAATTTTTTTAACCACTTTTTTAAAAAATATTTTTTAACATATATTTCAAAATTTTAAGTTTCAATTGAAACTTAGAACTTGTCCTTGCGACTCGTGAGTTAAACTAAAACAATCTCTATCAGTTGATTTATGTGTTAAGTGATGTCTAATAATACATAACAAAAATTTATATAATTTATTACATTAATAAAATTACATGTTATAGTTTTTAGTAAAATATATCATTATTATTTATTTACTTTATTTGATACACTTTAAAAAAAAATACATATTTTAGAGTGAGAATGAGAAAAGACCAAGATTAGCCAACCCAGCTCTTTGATGGTCGAGCTTTATGCTGGGGAATCCGGAGACAGCTCCAAAAAGAAACTCAAAACTCTTGAATTGAATACGACATTATATAAATGAATATCAATATGCCAGACCTTTATTCTTTGTTATATTGTGAACGCTGCTACGCTAGCTACTCCTTTATAGTTTGTTTGTTGTATTCAACATTCAACATTCATATTCATACACTTAACCCCCTTAAAGCTTCCAAAGTTTCTGGCACGTACTATAAAATGAGACTCTCGAAACCAGCGTTGTTTCTCTTTCTGGTTTTCATCTTCACTGTTGAAGGGCTAGCAGTTACTGACGAACGAGTTGTGAGTGCTGGTTCTGGGACTTTTGCCACTGTAGTGAGTTTCAACTTAACCTCCGTCGCTGTCTCTTGATTCTTCTGTTTGTGTGTTTTTAATTTCTGGGTTTCTGTATAATTATTGTAATTAGTCTTATGATTTTGCAACATGTGTGCAAGAACATACAATAAAGTTTATGTACAACAAATTTTTATTAAAAATTTAAGATATTATTGGATTTAATATATTAATAATATTAAATATATATTATCGTTTTTAATACAAATTTATTATTCATTGTTTATCTTTAAACACACAAAAACCGTTAATTTTAATTTTACATTCATTATTGCTCAAAATTAGAAAGGAATTGGATGTTTTTGGAGTAACTGAATTATTTATTATATTATATGCAGAGAAGAGGAGGGTGTGATGAACAAGGCAGGGAGTGCAAGGAAGGAAATGAGGGATCGGAAGAGAGGGTTTTGGAGAACAAAGATTACATCTACACCAACTCTTTGCCTTAGACGAAACGCATTGCTTGCATTTCCTTTATTAGATGGTGTGTTGTAGTTGTAACTCGTAATAATTCATGCTTTGTCTAAAGCTAGCAATTCTTGTAATTGTAAAGGACAAATCTTTAAGCTTATTTCAATTACTGGTTAATGCAATATTTTTTGTTAAATTATGCTCTCTATCACTCGCCACAACTGTATATAAAGTCTTATTTAGGTTAATTATCACACTTCTATGTAAAATTTACGCAGAGGGTAGCGTACGGAATGTTTTTGTTTGTCTAAAACTTCCTCGAAATTACGTATTTCGTTGACTAAATGTTAAAACACAGAAGAGTGGCAAGAGGACAAATCTGTCGTTAATACTCAACGTTCTATCATGTTTTCTGATGTTCTATGCAAATTTTCCCCACGGAAGAAAATCCTGAAATTCGCCTTGGCCGTGCGGCTAAGAATTGCAATCTATATATTTTTAGAGTTTCAAACCATTAAAATTTATTATTCTGTGTAATATTATATATATATATATATATATATATTTTTTTTTTATTTCTCATATACTTTATATTGTTTTATAGACATGCATCTCAAAAATATATTTCAAATTTAAAAGAGAGAATTTTAGGTATTTATCTTTCATGGTACATAAAATACTTTTCTATTTTTTATTGGACAATCATTTCCATAACCAGAGAGGAATGGAAATAATTCCTATTGATTGTGTTCATATATTTTAAAGTTACAAAATTGTTTTTTCATATCGTATGACAAATATTTTAATTACATTTGAAAGACAAAATTAATTATATTTAATTTTAAGTTAAAAGAATGCTTGTAACACTTTTTTTAGCACATTTTTTATTATTGACTAAAATTTATTAAAAACGATAAAAATTATATACATCTCACTCTTAATTTACAATTTTTTCTTATATGTTAAATAATAATAAAGAATATATTAAAAAAATTATTAAAGAGTGTGTGAGAGTTTTTTAAAATTAAAGGGATAGAATTTAAGTTTCACGAATCCCAAATGAGTTATTCAAGAAACTCGCAAAGGTGGGAAATGACATAAGCAGATAAGGGCTTATCTTATCACATGCACAAGATTATTGACCAGATGATCGCTGCAAGGATTGTATTCCAGCTATTACAGAGTCCTGCGCAAATTTTATCCCCATACGAATATCTTTTATTTGCTGTTATATTTTTCCTTGGTTTCTTTTTTTTCCTCTGTTGGTCATCTTTAAAGTAATGAAATTTTCCCTTTGACTGCTTATTCTTGTCTTCTCGATCTATAGAAAGTACTCTACATTTTCAATGAATATGACAAGGATTTTTTTTTTTATCTTAATCAGTTACCGACGTACTTCATGAAGTTGAGATTTATTTTATTTATAATAATACAAAATGTGCCTCAACCTTCTCACCTGGGTTCTACTTACAGAAGCAAAACCACTGTCTTTGGAGAATCTTAATTTGAAAATGGTATTTGAGAATAATAGAACACCACCTTTAATACAACCCCTAGTTCCAGAGACCAAAGTCAAATGAGTTACTGCGACATAGAAGATTCCCATTTATAGAGACACATGGAGATAACACGACATGCCCATGTGGAAGGCCATAGTAAATTGCCGTCCTTCATGAAGATTGCGAGCCATCTACCATATGGGATTCCATTTACATATTCTGCTCCATCCTTATCACTTCTATAGCTATCGCTATTCTTGGCGTATTAGGTCCTCACATCATATGCAATGTTAACGAAGTATGCATTAACATATTGACATTATGGAGTATCGCGCAGATGAAAAGTACGAGTACAAACAAAGGAAAAAATTATTTTTTCATGAACAAGAGGGAGCGTGACAAAACAGCCAACAGCAGAAATTAAAGACAGACAGAGATATTGGAGGCGGTGAAACAGACAAGTGGATTCTATGGGACTCTCTGTGCCCACAATGATGAGCATGCAGTAAGGTGTTACAGGAAATGAAACTCGTAAATTACTTGTACAACCTAGAAAAACCTGTCGTTCGATACGAATTTAAATCCAACACACGCATCGATGGCACATACGGACATTTTATTTGAACAAATATATAAACAACGCTTCCTCTCCATGTGGTAAGTACAACTCATGATAAATAGAAAAAACTAGATAGATTTTTTACAGAATTTAGTTAAATACAAGCGTGGGACGTAATTGTGAATATATATACAAACCGTGCATCATCCTGTATAAGTTACTATGCCGCAATGACTTATAATTTTTAATTATTTTTGGGGCGGGGGTAATGACAAAAATGTGGCTAAGCCTATTGGCTACTGCAGAGCTCAATCTTTTTACCAACAAACAGGTGAATAGAAAAAACCTCCACCATTTGCTAATTGAAAGTTTTTGTACTTGAAGGTCTTCCCAAATGTTGGGTGTTACTTTTTATCAGCTCTTGAAGTCATAATTCTACTCATGTTCTGGAAGGTGATTCGTAATCATGACCTTAACATGTGCAATACATCAACCTTAAATCTGCAATAACCCAAGCAAAACCAATAAAAAAAGGACATGTGAAGGATCAACAGGTACAACTAAGTATTATTTTTAAATACCAAACCATCTACAGCATAGGTTTTTCAAATTGTAGGGTATATTAGGCAAATTATGTTTGGAAAATGTTAAACAGTGCCTTTAGGGCATTTAATTAAAATATCAAAAGTAGTTTTTCTTTAATCGAAAAAAATAACAATGCATTCACCCCAGTAATTTCCAATATATCTCAGCATGATTTTAATAAAAAAATTACTAGTTATTAATTCCTTAACCAGTGCCCTTAGCAAGACCCATTATGTTTATATATCATTCCAAACACAAGGTTTCTTAAACTAGCCTATGTTTGAGATGACCAGTATCTTACATAATACGTACCAACATACCAAAAGGCTACTAGTATACCATAATACGGACACAGAAATAGATGGAACCACATTAATACACATTGAAAAGAAATGAACAGTGATATATACATTAGAATTTTTATGTCAAAGACATTGATTTAATTATATCCAATATTGACTTAAATAAATAACATTTCATTTCCCTCCAGGGTGGCATAGAGAACCTCTATTCCATTACAACAATTATGCCAAGGGTTCTCATGGCACTATTATATATTGAGAGAGCGCGGGGCAATGGGTAAAAGAGAGTTATTACTCGATACTTTTTTTTCTTTGTTCTTTTCTTATTTGGATAAATACCAGAAGATTACCCACAAGAAATTTGACCACACTAACGAAAGACCCTACAGTACACTTATTCTCCGGTGATGCCATCATGTAACATTTTCTCAGCTCTAAGAGGTTACAACATGCATGCTTACTCTCAAAAGCCACATGGCAATTCATGGCAAAAGGAACCTTCATCACAGAACACTGATAAGATTCTTGCATGACATCACAACTTGAACATAGTAAGTATAAAATAATTTTATAAAACAAAATAAAGTAATATTCACCTACTAGCTGCTTATGCAGTTCCTGTTATCAATCGTTCCCGTTCATCTAGCTTCTTAACCTTTATAATGCCCAAGAGCACTTGAAAACCAAAAAATGCACAGAAGATGTATGCCACAATAGCAGGCATCTGGAAAAAGATAACATGTGACTTAGCAAGGAGATCATCACAGATAATCAATTAATTGACTTTATTATCACCGCCAGCATAAAAGGGACGCAGGATGGGAACAGCTTACACGAAGTGAATTGAGATAAAAAACTGTTGCTAGATTTATTAGGCTCCCCGCAGCTACTGCCTGTTAATTGACAAAAAGGTAAATGAATTTGTATCATCCCAGCAGGTTTTCCATGTCTCTCCTATAATAATTTATTCATTAACTGAACAAAGATTAAAAAAATTTGTGTTCGAATATCTCATGATATGAAAATATTAAATCTTAGAATACTGGCTATCTCAGAAATTATTACTCGAAATTAGATATTCTATGATTTGTTTCCTTATTCTATGTATTGTTTTAGGTTTTACCATTACAATACATATTATTGTAATACCTCACACTACAGGAATAACAACTATTATTTGAAGTCTTTTTTCTCTCTAATCACTCCCTCTTTACCTAAAACTCAATAATTCCAAGTTTCAACAATGTCGCTTATAATGGATGTGTGCATAAAAGCATGGAAATGTGTCCAGAGTTGACAACTATGCATACACATCCATCAGTCATTTAAAAGTTGTAGAAGAAATTAAAAAGAAAATGCGATTGTGATTATAAGTATGTTAAAAGGTGGGCCTCCAATGGTTAAACCATTGCAATATATGAACATATACACCTGGATGCATGGGCACCTAGAAATGCAAAAGGTGAAAAAAAAAGTTAGACAAAGAAAAGCTGATAAATGAAATAGTATACAAATTTATTTACTATAGTACTGTCCTGACCGTAAATGAAAAGAGCAAGACATCCATTTTCATGTCCATAATCAAAAGGGGAGTGACCATAATTTAGACAAGAACTACTTTCAGCAGATAATAAAGTTGAAGGCCAAGCATACCCCCAAAAAACTACAAACACGTGTTTTACTGGAAGTAGAACAAACTTGAACTAAATTTGAAGAAAGAAGCTAACTTTATAACTCAAAAAGTCAAATGTCAGCTTGACTTACATTCCCTATTGTCTTCTGGACTGCAGCAACACGTTGGAATGCCCTCTCAGATTCCAAAGTTCGAACTCGGAGCTTTAGATCACCTTGCTCCTGTGGAAGAAGTAAGTGCAATAATCAGTGATCTAGAATAGCAAAAATCCAGAACAAACAAAAGGTACAAATAAAATAAAGAACACAGATTATCTCTGTGGAAATCAGGGAGATACCAATCTTTGGATGATTTCAGCAAGCTTGTCAACCCTATCAGCCTGTCTGAATAAGTTGTAAAATGCTTTTGATTGCCTATCCCATCTCACCCTGAAGTCCTGTACATGATACGAAAGATATGAGAAGAAGAAATCATATAACTTATTGCATTCAAGAACCATTGAACATGTTTTGTAACTACCTTTAGGATAACTTCAACTCCTGCTTCACGAAATCTTAGCAACTCCAAGGCATAACTACAAGGCCAGGAAGGCTAGTTGTGTTAGATATGCAAAGTATATAATAGGCGTGAATAATTAAAAATAATTGAAAAGTAAAAAAATATTAAGACAATACTTACGGTTTGGCAATCTCAGTAATGTCAAAACGAGGGTCAAGGCCCTTTCCAATGCCATCCAACACTGCAGGACAAAATTGACTTGTTGCCTTAGAACAGCATGCATAGGATATGCAAACTGGTGCATGAAACTTATTTACATTTACCTGAGAAGGCTCTAACAACAAATGTAAATGTAGCAGGAAATCGGAAGGGCTGATCTGCTGCAATAGATAATAAATCTTCACCTGTTTAAAGCACAATAACTATGAGTATCATGTTAGGAGAGTTAATTGTATCCTATGATTCTTGTTAATTGTATCCCATGATTCTTTCAGTAAGTATGGTAACGGTCATATTCGAATAGCTTGATTGTAGGAATAGATTACTATGTTATAAGAACAAAATCATCAAATTAGAGATATGTGTTTGTGTATTACCTCTATATTTCTGAATGAAATCACAACCCAATTATCTCCATCTTCTCTTTTATTCTTTACATGGTGTCAAAGCGGTAACGATCTGTTCTCTCTATTTTTCTTTTTTTTACACTCTACACTCCTTTTTTTTTTTTTTCCAAACCATTATGAGTAACAATGGAAACAAACCAGATTCCAACAACACTAGCTCCTACTCTCTTTACCATTCCTATCATCCTAGAATGATTCTTGTTTCTAAACCTCTCGATGGCGACAATTATTCGACTTGATGTCGAGCCACTACCATCTTGTTAAATGCAAAATCCAAATTTGGTTTTGCTGATGGAACCCTTGAGGCACCATCTTCCAAAATCAAACCAGATGACTATGTAGCATGGAAAAATGCAACAATATGGTTTTATTATGGATTCTTAATTCACTGACCCCTCATATTGCAAACAGTGTTGTTTTTTATGACACTGCTCATGAAGTTTGGGAAGATCTTCAAAATCGTTTCTTTCAAAGCAACGCACCACGCATCTTCCAAATTGAGAGAGAGACAGCTTGCCTTACTCAAGATCAAATGACAGTTGCTGCTTACTATACAATGTTAAAAAAATTGTGGAACGAGTTAGGATCCTACATTGATGCTGTTTGCACATGTGGAGCAAACACCAAAAGACGCAAGTTGATGCAATTCCTCATGGGGTTGAATGAATATTATAATGCTGTTCGAGGTCAACTCCTTTTGATGCAACCTTTACCTAATATTTCACAGATTTATTCTTCCATCATTCAAGAAGAAAAACAACGAGATTTGGGTGCAAGACGAGAGACTATAGAAGCCTCTGCCATGGTTGTCCAAAAGGAGGAACCAATAGGCAATAGCCCTTGCTGTCCGACACAAATCTGGTCCATCTTTTCATCCTAATTCCAATTACCGCAAGCAGCTGCATTGTTCCCACTGTAACAGAGATCATCATACAAGAGAGACATGCTGGAAGTTAAATGTTTATCCACCAGGACACTCTAAGCATGCCACAACCAAAAAGTCTCATTTCAAGCCCAACAACAATCAATCTTCAGCAAATAATGTCAGAGAGGTCCTAGCAACACATGTTCAACCCCTTGTGAATGGATTGACTGAATTACAACAAAAAATATTTTTGTCTATTATGTAGGGCAATGGGGCATCGCAACTAGCTGCTCCTAAGGCAAATAATGTCAATCTTTCTTCAGGTTTGTCTGCACCCAATTGATCATTGATAGTTGCGCAACAAATCACATGACTTCTTCTCCATCTTTGCTTATCAATGGTAAAGAGAACACTTCTTTACCACCGGTTGTTATGCCAAATGAAGATCAGGCTCCAATTATTTCTACGGCAAATTTACCTTTGAGCACTATAATTTATTTGAAGAATGTACTTGGGGTGCCATCTTGTAAGGTGGATTTGATGTCTGTGAGTTGGATAACGAGATTTAAATTGTTCAGTAACATTTTTTTCTCAATTGTGTATTTTACAGGATTTGATGACGGGGATGATGATTGGCTTGGGTGAACAACGAGATGGACTCTATTACTTGGTTGCAGTGAATAAGTCAGCAAAGATTAATACCACTAGAGTTATCGTTACTTCACACACCTCAAGTATCTTGTGGCATAGACGTCTAGGACACTTACCCTCTTCTAGATTAGACTTTCTGGCCAAAAACTTCCTACATTTCCCTTTCGAGCAAAATAATAATTGCGCTGTTTGTGCTCTTGCAAGACAAACTAGGCTCACTTTTTCTACAAGTTCAATTTCTTTTGTTAAACCTTTTGAATTAATCCATTGTAATATTTGGGGACCTTTCAAAGTCCCTTCTCTTTCTCGTGCAAAATATTTTTTAACTATTGTGGATGATTTTTCTTATTATACTTAGGTTTTTCTCATGCATCATAAAAATGAGACGAAAAATTTTCCGACTAATTTTTTCTTTTTTGTGAAAACCCAATTCAACACTACTATAGCCAGTATTTAGGTTGACAGGGCACTAATTACCAACATTTTTGCATTTATACACCTCAATAAAATGAGGTGGTTGAGCACAAACATAGACATATCCTTGAGTCAACTCAAGCTCTTCATTTTCAATCTCATCTCCCTTTACATTTTTGGGGCAGAATGTGTCACCACTGCTGTTCATATAATTAATAGGTTGTCCACACCTATACTTTCTCGCCAAACTCCATTTGAAAAACTTCATAAAAAAATTCCCTCTTATTCCCACCTTAGAGTTTTTGGATGTCTTGCTTATGCTACAAATGTTTATGTGTCCCATAAGTTTGCTCCTTGTGCTAGCAAATGTGTTTTTATTGGTTATCTAGTTAGTCAGAAAGCTTATAAATTATATGATATTGACTCTAATAAAGTCTTCACTAGCTGTGATGTTATTTTCCACGAGGATATTTTTTCCTATGAATTCATTTCTACCTCTACACCTAAAACAGATTCAGTCATACATTTTGCTATCTCAGATTCCTCACACATGCAGCAACCACATGCAGAATTCATCCCTACCAACTCTACTTCTCCGACAGCCCCCTTGCGTCGTTCTCAAAGACATCGTGTTTCCCCCGTAGCCTTGAGTGACTGTTTGTAATCAAGTAAGTTCTCCTACATCATTGTCATTCTCATCATCTTTTCCAAGTAAAGGTACACGATATCCTCTCCACAATTTTATCTCATACGATTGTTACTCACCACAACATAGATCCTTTATTGCTACTATTACTAATGATGTTGCACCTACATGCTATGAACAAGCTGCCTCCCAATCTCATTGGCAAATAGCAATGCAATCTGAGTTGGCTGCTTTAGAGGCTAATAAAAATTGGTCTCTTACACCTCTCCCTCCTAGAAAGCAAGCTATCAGTTGTCATTGGGTGTACAAAATCAAACGCAAATCAGATGGTTCTCTTGAACGCTATAAAGCACGATTAGTAGCAAAAAGTTACATATAACTTGAAGGTATTGATTACCATGACACATTTTCACCTACTACTAAAATGGTTACAATACGTTGTTTATTAGCTTTAGCAGCCGCTCAAAATTGGTCACTTCATCAACTCAGTGTCCACAATGCATTTCTTCACGGATATCTTTCTCAAGAAATTTATATCTCTCTTTCTGCTAGTTTTCAGCGACAGGGGGAGAATCTTGTGTGTCGCCTCAACAAATCTTTGTATAGATTAAAACAAGCCTCTTGTCAATGATTTGCCAAGTTCTTTACAGCTATTCAGGGTGCTAAATTTATTCAATCAAAAACAGATTACTCATTGTTTACATGTATGTAAGAAAGGCAAATCATTTATTGTCTTATTGATCTATGTTGATGACATCCTCATAACTGGTAATGATTTGAATGCCATAATTGTTCTTAAATAGTTTTTACATAATCAATTCTGGATTAAAGATTTGAGTGACTTGAAATATTTTTTGGGCATGGAGGTTTCTCGGTCAAAGAAAGGTATATTCATTTCGCAGAGGAAATATGCTTTGTAAATTCTAAAAGATGGAGGATGTTTGGGAGCTACACCTATGGATTTTCCTATGGAGCAAAATGTTAAACTGTCAAATGAAGGAGAATTGTTGAAAGACCCATCCTCATATAGGCGGCTTGTAGGACGCCTAATTTATTTGACTATTACTCTTCCGAATATCACCTACTTAGTGCACATATTAAGTAGATTCATGCACGCTCCTCGCAAACCTCATATGGAAGCTGCCATGCGAATACTCTGGTATCTAAAGAACAATCCAAGTCAATGTTTATTTGTCTTTGCGTGCCTTTTGTGATTCAGATTGAGGAGGTTGCCCAATATCCAAAAAATCAACTACAGGTTATTGTGTTTTGTTGGGATCCTCTTTAATTTCGTGGCAAAAAAGAGACAAAAGACAGTTTCTCTATAACCAGCTGAAGCTGAATACAGAGCTATGACAGGTACATGCTATGAGTTGTCTTGGCTACAATCACTATTGAAGGATTTGGAGATATTACACTCAAAGGAAGCATTGTTGTATTGTGACAACAAAGCAACTCTTCACATTGCATTTAATATGGTATTTCATGAAAGAACACGACACATAGAGATAGATTGTCATTTTATTCGTGACAAAATTCAAGACAGTTTAATTGCAACTAAGTATATTCCTTCAGCAGAACAAATTGCATACGCCTTTCTTACAATGAAGTGCAAGTTGGGAGTTCTTGATATTCACTCTCCAACTTGAGGGGGAGTGTTAGGAAAGTTAATTATATCCTATGATTCTTGTTAATTGTATCCCATGATTCTTTCCATAAGTATGGTAACGGTCATATTAGAATAGCTTGATTGTAGGAATAGATTACTGAGTTGTAAGAACAAAATCATCAAATTAGAGATATGTGAGTGTATATATTACCTCTATATTTCTGAATGAAATCCTCTATATTTCTGAATAAAATCACAACCCAATTATCTCCATCTTCTCTTTTATTCTTTACATATCAAACATCCACTTTTAAAAGTAAACAAGCAATAATGTGATCAAAATATTCAATTAGTTTAAGTACTGTATGTTTGGATGTAGGGCATAATCCTTGTTGAGGCAGGTCATGCCAAATAAAGATCGTATGCATACATGCATTTTAACCAATCAGGGCAAACCAACAAAAGTAAAAACAAATAAAGATCGTACGCATACATGCATGCATAAAATCATAGAATAGCCATTCTACATATGACTTTTTACCAACTCTTTTGCTACTAAAAACATTTTTTAGTAATTCACTAGTATTATTGAGCCAATGGCCCTAAAATTGTGTGACAGATAAAATTTGTAACTAGGTAGGAGATGAACTGCATATTATATATTCTTTCCAAACACTCACTTATCTTTATCTTCACAATTGGCAGAGAATCAACAATAATTCTTGCATGCATACATTTATAAATAGGCATTCAGTTACACTAGGTGCATTACCGATAGCAGCCAGACGTTGTTTCTTCTTCCTTATTTTTTCCTCCTTGCTTAATGGTTTTTTGAATCCAAGTTCAGCTGTTGCTTCCTCTTTTTCCCTCCTTTGTGCAGCCAGGCGTTCTTCAAAACTGTAGAAGATAAAAAATCATTCAAGGTAAGAGATTTCAGTAGGTCTCAAACATAATCAGTACCCTAAGTAGTTCTTGTACTAAAACATTGTTAGGAACCCAGAAATGAGTTGAGTTTTGAGGTAGAAAAACAGAGAGAAAGGAAAAAGGACACTTCGACAGTGTTTATTGAAATACCAATGAAGAACCTAACTAATTAATTGACATGCTTCTACACTAATCTTCACCTAATCCTAAATTGCATGCCTATGAACAAACATGTGCATTTTTCTATTTTTGACATAACCATGTGCTATTTTTGTGTCAAACATAGAGGAAAATATTTCTAAAGAATCCATTAAATATGGACTCCTCACTATGCCTAACTAATTACGTTGACAGTCCCTAGCTTACTTTCCCTTCCTCCCCATTCTAACAGAAGTATTAATGAGCAAGGAAAAAAATAACCTAAAAAAATATAAATAAAATGAAATGAAGAAATGTCTAATATCTAAAGCAATATATAGAATTTGCGGAACCTCCCTTTTTCAAGATGATTTATTTAGATTCTCTTATTTAGGACACTTTAAAGTGACTTCTGAATTGTAATGGGTATTGCCCTTGCACTGCTCCCTCTAAAGCATGGGTATGACACTTTCCATGAAATACCGATACCAAGTACAGGTACGTCATGGGTACGCTATGGGTACGTACCCAAAAAAATTTGCAAAAAAAAAAAGTTAGGTACGGGAAATGAAGGCTTTTTTCTTTTTTTTGCGGTCATTATTATGGTAATTGGGTGGGCTTGGCCATCTGATTTTGCCTTGTGGAAACGATGATATTTCCTTTTATCCTTTCTTTCTTTCCTGTTTGTTTATTTTTGGATTGAGGTTCCTTTTGTATTTGTCTTTCGCAAAGTCTCTCTGTATTAGTATATTATTTCTATATCAATGCGTATTTATTTCTTTCGGATGTTGTTTTGTTTTCTGTTAAAATAGAGTTTAATAGATGTTTGAGCTAACACAAAAGATAAAATAAAAATAATCCTGTGCAACGGTGATAAAAAAACAACCGAACTTACTCTCATCCGTTTTTTCAATCTCCATTTCCATTTTTATATTTATTTTGTACAATTATATATATATTTATTTATTTATTATTTTTTTAATTGAAGTACCCATACCCTGTTTTTTAGAAAATGCCATATCCCGTACCCGTATCCGTACCGGTATCCATGCAACATAGACTACTCCATATAATAAACAATATTGACTTGTAGAAATATCACTTTTTGAGCACTGGAGGTGTTTTCTATTGATGGTATATTCCCACTAAGTCGGTTCATAAATACCTGTTAAGGAAGAATTGCGCTGTTCGTCTAACAGCAGTCATATCTCCAGTAGGGACAAGAACACCCATTTGAATCATTGATTGAAGAACCTAATACCCAAACACAAGCTTCATTTGGTTAGTATTTACAAGTTAAGACTTAAGAGTGTTATATTGTGGTAGTGTACATATAAAATTAGAAGGATGCTATTCATGAAAAGGAAACTACCTTATCTGGATTTTTCTCATAAACTCCATAAAATGCTTCAAGCAATCCTTCTCGGATGTTTGGACTGATACTGTAACATTCAATACCGAACATAATTGAAAAGGCAAGCCATCTCACAAAGCTTAAAGTATGTGCTACTGGTGAATATATATTAGAAACATCCATAAAAGACAGACAACATACCTCCCCATCATTCCAAAATCGTAAAAGATCAATCTTCCACCATTGACATCATCGACAGCAATATTTCCAGGATGCTGTAGGAACAATGTAACCATATATTACTTACATAAAAAAGCATCAAGCATCAAACTCCCTAAATTATACTCATGAGATATGAAAACTTCTTATTTCTCAACAAACCTTAAGCTTGATCACTATAAATAGGAAAAAAGATACGGCAAGGAAAAATTACAATGAGTTCCTTGGACAATAGTTTTGAGTGTTTCCACACTCACTATTCCTCAAACTCAATTATTTCCCTTGGGAAGCATCAAGTTTCAAGAGGAAAATAGAACCTTCAATGAAAGTTAGCATAGACAAACAAGAGTTGCTTTCAGGAACCAAATGGAATTATTTTTCAAAACCTTCATCATGTTCAGGATGCTGAAGAGCATGCAAATGAAGTTACTGAGAGTTGTTAATGCTATTGTGATAAAATCTAGCGAATCTAAAGTCCCAGGCTCCAGAGACTTCTAGAAAAGTATTTTTAACAAAGAATCTAAGATACAGTAACCTATAGTGTATGATTTCATAAAACTTTATAGAAACATCATTAAAAAAACAATGTAACAGTAGAGCATTTTTATTGGATATATATTTAGAAATTTTATATTACTAGTTAATTAAAGAGTGAAATTCTATATCCTGTATCTTTCCAAGAAAAATTCAATTAAAGAGTGAATTGATACATCATAAGTTGATGTATCAAAACATCTTTAGATACTTCTGTCAGGATAGATGAAAAAGGAGACCTGTAAATCATTCAGAAATATTCTCTTTCTGGCTCTGCCCCTGGGTGGCCTTTCCCTAGTTAGATACCACTCTAACAGAATGGTTCACTAATTAACCTTGTGACCACAGTACCTACAAGCCCAGGACATTTAGGCAGTTTGTACAAGGCATTGGCTTCCCAATAGGTAGCATAAGAATTAAAAGGCTTCCAAACACCAAACAGATATTGTCTCACCCAAGAATGCAAAGCCATAGAGGAGCTTGATGGCAATACCCACCCATAAATCAAAGGCAAAAGTCAGTATTAGTGATTTAAGGGTGCCATATGGGGGAGGGGCATTGCTTGACATATAAGAGTTACTCTTAAGAAAACAAGATAGCCGAGATTTGAAAAAGGAGAACTATTGTAAACATAAGTACTATATGTTTTGTAGCTCAGACAATGGATACTATCGTTGCAGCATAATCAACAGCAGTTAAAATAAAATTTTGGCTTTAGTATGCAATTTACTAGATAGCCAAATATAATATAACATAATATAATATATAAAGAGATGTCTTATATCAATTCTAAATGCAAACTCACAGGGTCAGCATGGAAGAAACCATGTGATAGAATTTGTTCCAAATATGATTCAACAGCATATCTCCCTAGCCTGTAGAATACAACACAAATATTATAGTAACTTGAATCAAGTTCGATGCCATCCTCAAAGAGATGCCCAAAATTAAAGGGTAAAAATTTAAGGGGCGGTCTGGTTTTAGAAAACATTTTCTGTTTTCAACTTTAATTACAAAGTCATCACCTTGATTTCATTCCGCTTCCTGTTTACAAAAGATTTGTACAAGAAATACTGAAAACATTTTTTTCACTGTTTCCTGTACAAATCTTTGAAAACAGAAAAAAAAATAATGTGCTAGTTTTATAATTAAAACTAAAAACAGAAAATGAAAATAGAAAACAATTTCTAAACTAAACAGCCCCTAACATGTCCATAGTAATCTTCCCAAGCAAATAAATAAAGATTCTACTAACCTTTTGCGGTCAACACCCAGCTGATCTAAAGCTTGTATTTTGTTTATTTTAATCCCTGGAACATACTCCATTGTCAGAATCTGCATTGGAAACAGTTAAATTATAGATAAATAAGTTATCAGACATAAAACTTAAAATGGGAAATATGTACACTGCTACAATTGGCATATTTCTAAGAGCAATGAAGGTTAGACCTGTGGCGTGGTATAATCCCAGTAGATTGTAGGAACTTTCACATAATCCATGTTCTTAAAATTACTAGCAAACAATTCTGCATTAGAAGCTTCCTTGGTGTAATCAATCTCCTGAAAATTAATAATTCATGTACCAGTAACACGACTTGAGAAAATTATTTACAGAGAACATATGCACACATCACACCAAAACAAGAATAAGATTCACAAGTGGGAATTGAAACTTGAATGGCCTCTCTTAAGCATTATCTAAGTTTATGACTTGTATTATTTGGAATGTTTTTGTTAAGATATCCCTGGCTAGGAATAAAGGCAAAATACACCTTATAAGGACTTGGACTACTCTTACAAGCTACCTTTTATGAATAAGTTAGGCCCAAGTTTCTTAATAGCTTTCTTGCATCTAGGTTTTCTATCAGTAAACATTCTGTGACCCACAAAACTATGATATTGCTACTAGTAATGCATGCACGCATAAAAATATCAGAGACTCAGTTTTCCCAAATTAACTTTACTGTTCACTTTTTAAAAAACATCAAATAGAATATGCAATCCGGCACACCCAACAAGCATGCTTCTTTTTGAAGCACAAGAGCTGCACAATATATAATAAAAGCTCTTTTGTCAATTTACTCCATTACTTAGCCTGGTCATAAAGAAGTACCATTGCAAGCCACCTTATCCCTTCTCTCCAAACAACTAACTATAGTTATCCCCTTCGTGTTTGAATAATAGACCCTCTCAATCAGCCACAGAAATCTTTACTAGGATCTTTGTTATAAAAAAGTCTCCCATGAACCAGAGCAGTTATTCTCTACAATCTTATTATTGGAATTCACTTTAGCAGAATTGGACTAAAAAGATGGTGAACTAGATAAATGACTTACTTCAGTTACCTCAAGTAACAATGAAGAGACTTCCCAGAAATTACCTGATATAAGACAGAGGCACATTCATCATAAATAGCAACCCAATCCCTCTTTGCACCATCAGATTTTGGATCAATTTTTTGAAGATATTCAGCAATAACCTGGAGTTAAAGAAAGGGCATTAGCATCAATGTTTCATGCATTGTTACAGAATCTTCAGAGGATGGAAGTCCTGCTACAATAAATCCATCATAAAAACACAAATAAATGTGTAGGCGCCAATCCATGTGGACAAAAAGTCATGTATGCAAGGAAAAGGGAAGCAATTCAATAATGTACAAATTTTAATGGTTAATAAAAGTTATGAGATAAATTTGAGAGAAAATAAAAGAATTATCACAAAGTAATATCACATTTGCTCACATCGCCATAAGTGTTGGCATTATATGAAAAGCCTTAAGTTATAAGACTCACCCTCAAGTTTTTAAGATCAATATCAAAAAGATCCTTGAGACCGGGCCTTTGTACTTTAACAACAACCTCCTGTTCCTTTAATCTTGCCCGATGAACCTGACCTGGATAAGGGAAAATAAGAGAGTTCACTATTCCATTCTTCTCATCAAATCACCTAGAACCATGGACCACTTGATCTCAGTTCCTACAATGATTGAGTTGAGCATAATTTCTATTACAAAGATATGCAAAGTAAAACATCAATTACCAAGACTTGCAGCAGCTATGGGTTCATAGTCAAACTGATCAAAGATATCACCTAAAGGAGCTCCAAGCTCTTCTTCAACAATAGCTATAGCAGTTGCCGAAGGAAATGGAGGAACTTGATCCTGAACCCAAAGTAAGGGGTTACTTAGGCACTGAATAATGCAATCTAAATAAATTTTTCTCTCGGCTTTACGTTTCTTTTATATATAGTTCAATCAAGATGATCTTGTCATCAAGTTTCTGAATTCAAAGGGAAACGTTCTGAATAGCTTTTTGGTCACTTGTTGCCAAAGTAGACAAGCAAGATGGACATCTAAAAACTCAAGAATACAAGGATTACAGATAGCCCTATTCAACCTTATAACAGGAAAGTTTGTTTCTCATAATAAATTATATTACAATGTGCCTATATCATTTGTCATTATGTTTATGCACATAGGTCAAGCAGGCGCAAATTGAGAAAAAGGGAAATGAAAATGTATTCTTGCATAATAAAGTGTAAAGGTAGCTTTCATCTAGGCTGGGAGCCTTAGTCATGACTAGATTGATAAGATCATTCAGAGAATAATAATTAAAAACTTTATGGGGTAATTACTCTGACCATTCTTGAGTTTAGCACTAATCATACTTACTCTGATAGGAAATGTGGGCTTGGACCGTGAAGAAAGGCCCAAGTTTGAAGAGTGTACGTAAGGAGAAACCAGGGTAAGGGGAGTAAAGATGAGGTGGCAAGGGTTGTAACAGAATTGCCAAACAGTGAGAAATGAAGATTTAGTGTATATAGGGAATGATTAGGAGAGAGAGAAGGAAGCTGATTTTTGAGAAATTCTACAATGGGCAAAGGGAAATAACCTCTCTGAAGGAGTTGTGCACTGTGGCAGTGGGATTGTATTTCCTTGTGTATCATTTTTTTTTACAGCAAATAATACAATCACTCCCAATTCTCTCAGTCATTTCTATTGACTATTTTGTGGTTTCTAACATACTCCCTTTTTGGTTGAAAAACTACACCCTCCTCCTTACTTTATTTAAATATTAGTCTTACATTGACACATTTTTAAAAAAAGTTTCACACATATCTTCCCTATTTTTATTTGCAAACCATAACATAGTACCCTTACAACAACATAGCTAGGTACATGCAAGAGAGATAGGTGTAATTTTCAAATTATCCCAAACTGTATGTATAATCTATATGCAATAATATAATTAGACACATAATGGAAAACAAATCTACATGCAAGACTTTGTTCTTTTCTAAAAAAAGAAAATAGGGAGAGATATGACAAGCAACAAAAGCAAGTTCAAAACATCTCAATGCATGGAAATAATCTCATAAATGATGATCAAAACTCTAATTTTTTACCTGAAGCTCAGACAACTGGTCAACATATTCTTGAGGAAGAATGTCCACCCTGGTGGAGAATTGCTGGCCAATTTTGATGAATGTAGGACCTAATCTTAGAATGCTTTCCTTCAGCCACTTTGCAAGGGCCTTCTGCCTTAAGGTTTTCTTTTCGTCAGTCATTCCTCCTACAAATATATCTTCCAATCAAATAAAAACTAAAAACCAAATTGGCATCCAACAAATTCTTCAAAATTAAATAAACACTGCATATATTAGCAGAATTTTTTTTTGTAGTTAGAAATAAATTTTAAAAAAGATGATGGACATAAATATCATTAAAGAGCATTGTAAAAGACCATTCAGGAAAAAGATGATAATGTAAATTTAAAACACTTGTTGAAAGCCCACATCCACTACAAATATGGTCAAAGCTGAGCTTATAAAAGCTTAAGTAATCCTCACCTTATGCGTTAACTTTTAAAGTTGAAGTAAGCCAAATCCAAATTCAAAATAATATCAAAGTCTATCATAGATCCAATATTGATCACTCTTGACTGTGGAAAAAAACAACCTAGCTCTATGAATTTTTTCAGTGCAATTAATCTAGTCTCATAGATTTGCTAGTACAGCCTACTTGGCCTCACAACTTTCCCAATGCAATCCACATGACCAGAAGTTTTCCTAGTGCAATATAAAACAAAAATAGGCCTATCATCCTAATGTTCTAGATGTTCAATCCTGATTCTCGGGTGTGAGGGAGAAAGGAGTGTCCTCACCTTAATAGCTAATTTTTGAGATTGTGGTAAGTCCAAATTCAAACAAACCAATGAGATTAATTTTTGAACCTAAGGCCATTGGACCTTAAGAGTTGATACTTGATACTTGATAATATAGTAACAACATTGTTAACAACACACAATAGATTAAATTCATTTCGGTTTTGGTAAACAATAAATGAGACTCATTAAATATGGGGTGAGACTCACATCAATCAGTTGGAGTCATATGGATTTAACCTAATATAGAAAAAGAGTGAGCTAGTGAATGTATTACTAGCAGTTTTCATGTAATAATAATCAACTCCAGCTAACACAACTATCCTACCATCAAGTTCACACCAATTTCTAGACTTTAAGTTCATAGTTTTGCATAGAAGGAAAAAAGTAGTTTCAAAGGTGTATAGTACCATGCCAATATTCAAAAACTCAAGCAAATAAATCAAAGTAAGCACATTATGATCATTATATATTTGCACTAAATGGCATGAAGAAGGACAAGAACAAAATGTGTTACCTTCCATGACATTAGAGAGTGGAACATAGTAAATCACACAAAATATGTTACCTAAACCCTAAACAAGAACACCACAGTAGCACAAAATGTGCTACCTTCCATGACGTTAGACAGTGGAACATAGTAAATCACAAAATGTGTTGCCTAAACCCTAAACAAGAACACCACAGTAGCACTGAAATGTGTTACCTTCCATGACGTTAGACAGTGGAACATAGTAAATCACAGATACCTCCCATATTCCCTGCTTAAGTGATTGATTCTAGGTTCCACATCGGACTGAAAATCACCCAACTATGACATAAGATAAGCATCCCAACAGATTGGTTTATGATTACAATTACTCAAAAGCTAACTCAGTTAGCATAATATCAGAAATTCAAATAAGGAATTCCGCCCGGTTGTATCTGTCTTTTGAATTATTTACTACAAGTGAACAAACAACGAGTCTGTTTATTGGTAAAGTCAACACGCCCCAAAATAATAAATCTAAATTATCGGGCACGACCTCAGCAGATTCTTGAGCACTTAATACCCCGACTACACATCATTGTATGAGGAAATTTGTTTACTGAAGAAACAATTCATCTTCAAGTCTAGTAACTCTAAATTACATAAAAAAATACAACAAGACCATAACCACACGCATGATTGATGACTCTAACAAATTCCAATGAATCGAAACAATTATTAAAATCTTCAGCGCACGAACCTTTGTAAGAGAACTTCTGGTTGTTCAGCCAGGACTTAAAAATGAATGTCACAACAAATCCCCAAATTTCCAAGGTCCTCTGGATTGTAGAGTAAGTCTTGAACCTGCTCCAACGACCTCCAGGTGCAACTGCTACCTGCCAAAAATCACACGTTCGTGCTTCATTTGAACATGTAAAACCTACTCAAACGCAATAAAAACGATGAAGCCATACCTCAACCTGTTCCTTCCCAGTTTGTTTAAACCACGCATCTTCTTTTCCAATCTCCTCCAACCTTTTCTTCCTCCCATCCTCTCTCAGCTTAAAGGCTTCAACCTCCAACACCTCTGCAGCTACACCATTTCCATTTCCGCTTTCGTAACCGTACTTCACCAAGCTTCCGTTAGCGGCGCCGTTAACGTATCCTTCTACCGTGCCATTGCCGTCGGTGCCGCCTCGATCATTTCCGCTAACGGCAGCAACTCCGTTTCCGCTCCATTCCACGTCGTTCACTCGCTCGGCCAACACGGATTCTTCTCTGGTGGCGCGGATTGGCGTGGTGCGAAGAATGATATTGGAGGTGACGTGGCGGGAGATGGAAGAAGCAGAGGAGGGAAGTTTGGAGAGTGAAAGACGGCGTTTGGGAGTGATTTGTGGAGAAAGAAAGTGGAGTTCTGGTAAGGGAAGAGGAGAAGACGTAGCCATGAATCGGAAGCTTCTAGAGCGAGAGAGAGAGATGAAGTATCAGAGTGCAAGCATGATTTTCATGGCGCGGAGAGGGAAGAGACAATGTGACACAGTGAAGAACAGAAATAGAAGAAGAAGAAGACAAATGAGGAGTGGAGGGGAACAAATAGAAAGGAGGGAAAGGGGTGGAGATGAATGGGACACGTGGCTTTAGCGAAGATGAGCCATAAAATTTTGTTTTTTTGTTTTTTATTTATTGTTTTTTTTTTCATGGGTGAACAAGTTTTTGTTCTCCGCTTTACGCTGACGTGTCAAGTGTCGATGAGTTGAGACTGGCGGTTACGGTTACGATTACGGTGGATTGTTGGAATGAGGCGTCACTTTTTTGTTTTAACACTCATACCCCCGAGTTATGGAGAAACAGTTTACTACTCTATTGCTTTTTTCTTTTTTTTATGCAGTGCTTTTTCATTTTTATTTTTTAAAAGTTAGATTATAGAAAGATATTTTAAATTTATAAAATAATTATTACTGTTAATTTTATATTAAATATATAAACAATAATAAAATTAATAGTATATTTTAAATAATATAAATATTCTTTAATTTATAGAATCATAAATGTTAATTTTAAGAAAATATAAAATAAAATTTTAAGTTATATTACCTGTAAATTTGAAAATGAAAATATTATCTACTCTAGGACTACTGAAAAAGAAAATTTTTAGGGTGAATATTTAAATTGTTAATTGACTTTTTAAAATATATATATATATATATATATATATATATATATATATATGTGTGTGTGAGAGAGAGAGCAATAGTGCATGATTTATTTTTTTTGGGATTGTTGGAACTAGTATGTTCATGAAAAGGGTTAGAGCAAGTTTATTTGTATCATTAGTCGTGTCAAAGTTTTGATAATTTTTTTATATTATAGACTTGATCAATATATATATATATATATATATATAGTTAAATTATGAAAATAATTAAAATTAAAATTACTTAATATTTCATAATGCATATTATAAAATAAAAAGATCAATATAAATATAATATTAGTGTATATGAAATATTATTTAATTAATATATAGTTATTTAAAGAATAAATAATATTTAAAATGATATATGATACTGAACTGAAACAAAAATATATAACTCAAACTTGTCTTAAAATTATATCAAATCTAATTTTTAAAAATTCAAACTTGTCCAAATTAATCTCAAATTGAAACAAGCACCACTAGTTAGAAGAATGCACGAAATATTTTACTAAATATTTAAATTAATATTTTTATGATCAAATAATTAAAGTTGTGTCAACATTTATTCGAGTAAAGTAAACTTTAAGATAAAATTTTTAAACTAAAAAAATTATTGATTTTTTTAAAATTAGGACATATAGTTATTTATTAAGTTAGTATACTCAAAACAAAATATATTTTTTTTATTAATTGATGATATATACTACTCTCTTTTTTTCCAGCTTTCACTTAAGGTCATTTTACCTGATTTTAAAAAATTGATGTATTAGTTTGTATAAAAAATATTTTAAAATTTTTGGTTCTATCTTTCTTTTGTCTAATTAATTAACTTTTTTTATTCATTAGCACATAAAGAGTGAGAGTTTGATAAAAAAAAAATAATAATAACTATTTTCTTGAACTTCTAAAGTGACAAATAAAAAGTTTTTTTAAATAGTGTGTACTGAATAAGACACGACTTAGTCATTTTCACTTAAATAGGAAACCGAATACCCTTTTAGCCTCATCTTGGGCCAAATGACACCTACACTCTTTTGGCTTCGTATTAGGCCGGAAGGTACTTAACCCTTTCAACCTCACCTTGGGCTGAACGGTATTCATACTCTCTTCAGTCACATCAAAATAGATTAACAGACTAATTAATATAATTAATCAAATAAAGCCATTGCAGGTACCTTCTCCCTACAGACAAGAAGAATCTGGAATATTTTACGAGAATGTCACAGCAATACGCGATGACAGAAGTTACAATGAACTAGTATATCCTTTGCAAGAACATTTTGGCGCTCACCGTGGAGCTCAAATTGCTTCAGCCCTCAATAAACATGGTACAAACCATGAGTCAACAAGAAGACCCCAGTCAACAATGGAGAATGTCTGGAGAACCCATAGGACCCATTCAAAATTAGCCTATACCGAAAGAAGTTCATGTGGAGAAGGGGAAAGATGAAGACTTGTCCTCGGTTGTTAGGCAGCTAAAAGCGGAGATAATAGAGATGCAGCGTCTCCGAAAAAAAGATGCTCATGAATTGTCTGCGGTACGGAGGGAGAACGCTAATCTCAGAAGTGGAATTAGAACCTACATTCATTCTCAATTTACACCCCTTATTCAAGAATAAGAATTATTCTCCCTGCAAGAGAAGCTGAGGACCATTCAACAATAGACAAGGGCTAGCTCCTCAGTTGTGAGGGATAGATTTCCAAGCCAAAGCCCCTTTACTTAACAGACTTTGGAAGGGAGATTACCAAACAAATGAAAAAGTTTGCTGGAACTTCTCATCCTGAGGAGCACGTGGATATATTCACTACCCAAGTTGGCCTTTACACTAACAATGATGTCCTACTATGCTGAATATTCCCGACATTGCTCCGTGGACCAGCTCTCAACTGCTTCACTAGATTATCACCCACTTCCATAGACTCGTATGCGACGCTTGTCACGCACTTCAATTTTCAATTTGCCATTAGTCTTCCTCATCAACTAACCTCGTTGGCTTTGGTTAATATTCGCCAAGAGAAGAAGGAAACACTTAAGGCGTTTATGAAACGTTTCGGGCAAATAGTCCTCTCTATTCGGAACTTGGATCCGGCAGTTGCGATACACCATCTCACAACAACCCTTAGGCCAGGTCTGTTTGTCAACAATATTTGCAAAAAAAAACCCTGTCAACCTAGATGAACTACGTTGCCGAGCAACCAAGTACATACAGATGAAAAATTGGTTGTTTCGCAACTAGGCCCAGATGGAGCAAGTGCTCAGTTAAAGAGAATCTGAAAGGAACGAACACGCAATAAACAAACACAGAAACAAGGACTAAAAGATCAGAACTTAACGTCTCCTGAGGGGACCTAGGCTTGCAAGTTACACAATGTTAAATACCAGTCAATCCAGGGTACTCAAGCAAGCTTTAGTAACAGAGATATTGATAATATCGAAGCGCGCGAGCACTCTCACTCGGGCTAGAAATTGTACTTTGTAAATTTAGTGCACTCTTTCCTCACTCATGTTTTGTCCTCTTAAGAGAACCTGAAAAGAAGTTTTCTGGATAAGGTCTTTAACGAGACACTTCATCGATAAAACGACAAAACTTTCTTTACAAGTCAACAGTCTCTTATTATTCCCTCTCGGGTATCTCATTTAGCTAAGGTTGAATCAAAATTTCCTCTCGAGTACCTCACTCGACTAAGGTCAAATTAAATATTTCATCCCAAGTACCTCACTCTGCTAAGGTTGAATTAAATATTCTCTCTCGAGTACCTCACTCGGTTAAGGTTGAATTATATATTTCCTCCCAAGTACCTCACTCAGCTAAAGTTGAATTAAATATTTCCTCCCAAATACCTCACTCGGCTAAGGTTAAATTAATATCTCTCAAATATCTTTGCTCAACTAAGATTCAATTACTTTTTTCAGATAACCTATCTTGGTTAGTATCTATATTCCTAAGTACCTCGCTTGGTTAAAAAGTTTGATTATTTTCTCCTAACAACCCTTCTCGGTTAAGGTAAAATTTACATTTATAAGTACCCATTATGTTCGAATGTTTGTTGACACATACATCACTCAGCTATTGTCTAATAATGAATGATTGATGTCGTGTAACGTATACGGTTTGAGGCGTTAAAATAACTACAAATATCGTGGATACTAATAATCTTTAACTTGTTCATTTTTAAACGTTGTTTTGAAAGTTACCATTAATACACAAGTAAACATGAAAATAAAACTTGTCTATTTCATCCTTTGATGAAAGACGTCTAACACCCCTTCGGCCTTATGCTTAGATGAAAGGCGCCTAACACCCCTTCGGCCTCATCTCTGGACGAAAGGTGCCTAACATCCCGTCGACCTTATCCCTGGACAAAAGGCGCCAAGGCGGCACAGCTCCAACACCTAATTTCTTTGAAACTCTACTTCTGATGATACATTAATTAAAGCCATTACATCATACATCATTGGGCTTGGGAGTAAGTGTACTGGATAAGACACGACTCGGTCATTTCCACTTAAACAGGAAACTGCACATCCTTTTAGCCTCATCTTGGCCCAAAGGACACCTACACCCTTTTGGCCTCGTATTGGGTTGGAAAGTACTTAACCATTTCGGCCTCACCTCAGATCAAATGGTACTCACACTCCCTTTGGTCACATCAAAATAGATTAACAGGCTAATTAAGATAATTAATCAAATAAAGAAGGATTAATTATCCAACTAATCAGAAGGTAGTTTAGGGCTGACTTATCAATCCTATTAGCCTAATATTATGCCTATAAAAAGAAAGTAAGAAGGACAGGTAAAGGAGATTGGAGAATATTTAATAATTTTTATTGTTCTAAACCGAATACTTACTTGACCGTCAGAGTACCATTGCAGGTACTCTCCCTCCTACGGACAAGGAGAATCTAAAATATTCTACGAGGACGTCACTGCAGTACGTGAGGACAAAAGTTATACTGAACTAGTATATTCTTTGCAAGAACACAGTGAAATGAAAAAAAAAAAAAAGTTAGTAGAGATGAATGTGTAATTAGTTGTTAATGTTAAAAAAAATATTGCTGCATTTGTTAAAAAATTAGAATCGATTTTGGATTATAAAATTAATTTTATTTAAAAGTGAATTCAAAGTGGGATAATTTATGTATTGTTTAAAAGTAATTTTGTAACAAAAATTAGTATATTTATTTTAACTACACCTAAAATATCTAATTTATCATATTAGTCCAAACATAAATTTAAACATAAAATTATTTATATGATAAGATTACTAAACATGTTACTATAAAATTCAAACTACGCATATTTTTTAAAAACTTTTATTCAAAAACTTTTTAACAATCATCCAAATAAACATAATCGTTGT